AAAAAACGAAGTCCAGATGACATGATTCAACCTTTTTTGTTGTTATAGTTGAGAACATTTAAGATATAGCCTGAATAGGTATTGGGGCCCAGATGGTGTAGTGGCAGGGCAGCCGACTTGGGACCCAAAGGCTGAGTTCAATCTCCGGTCATTGCATATCCTGTGGTGTCTCTGAGCAGGACACCCCATCCCCAGCTGCCCCCTGGGCACCCCCCACAGCCGCCCACCGCCCCACCCGGCGGCGGATGGGACAAAAGCAGAGAGCCAATGTCGCCATTTTATGGGAACATACAATGATGACAATACATAACACACATTATTATTATTATTATCTCTTTCTGTTTGCAGGTTTGGGCTTTGGCAGCTGCAGCTACCAGTCACGACCTGAGTCCAGATCCTGACCCAGACGCAGAAACTCCCTGGGCCAGACACCCGTTTGGGCGCCACTTGCTGGAGACTCTGTGAGTCACGATGCACGGTGTGAGCGTGGGGAGAGGGGGCGGAAGAAGTGTTGCGTCTGAGCTGTGTTCATGTTTCTTTCAGTCTGGACCACTACAGTCAGATGAGTGATGTTCAAACTCTCGCCATGCTGTGCAGCGTCTTCAGGGCTCAGGCTCCGCCCCCTGACTGCTACGCACTGTACGGACACCATTCCTCTCGTTTACCCCCACACTGTCGATATGTAAGTCCTTAAACTCAGCTGCACCAAGTGTTGTTCTTTAAAAACATAAAAATCTTCTCAACCTGGGCTGGACAGAACATTCTGTTAGACTCCATGGTCCAAATGTCTGTTCTGGGGTTTCACAAAGGTTCACAGACGGAACACTGCAACCAGGACCACAAGAGAAGAGTCATTTTGTGCTTGTTCTCTGCAATCCTTCTGCTTCTAGAGCTGTGTGAATAAAAACAAGCTGCTCATTTAACATTTTCTCTGACATGGGGGAGAGGAGTTGTTTTAATTCAATTCAGTTTATTTATGTAGCACCATATCACAACACAGTTGTCTCAAGGCACTTTACAGGAACATTCACATACATAGCCAATTAAAAAAGTTCTCTATCTAAGGAAGCCAGCAGACTCATTGAATCTTCACTTTGTCGTAGTCTCCCATCCTGAACAAGCACAATGGCAACAGTGGAAAGGAAAAACTCCCTTTTAACAGGAAGAAACCTCCAGCAGAACCAGGCTCAGGACAAGCAGCCATCTGCTTTGACCAGAGGCAAACGAACACAGAATGGTAGGTCCAGATGTACAGGTCCTTCTCAAAAAATTAGCATATTGTGATAAAGGTCATTATTTTCCATAATGTAAATATAAAAATGAAACTTTCATATAGTTCAGATTCATTGCACACCAACTGAAATATTTCAGGTCTTTAATTGTTTTAATACTGATGGCATACAGCTTATGAAAACCCAAAATGCCTGTCCCAAAAAATTAGCATATTTCATCCCACCAATGAAAGTCAAGTGTTTTTAATACAAAAAACACCAACCTTCAAATAATCATGTTCAGTTATGCACTCAATACTTGGTCGGGAATCCTTTTGCATGAATGACTGCTTCAATGCAGCATGGCATGGAGGCAATCAGCCTGTGGCACTGCTGAGGTATTATGGAGGCCCAGGATGCTTCGATAGCAGCCTCAAACTCTTCCAGAGTGTTGGGCCTTGCGTCTCTAAACTTTCTCTTCACAATATCCCACAGGTTCTCTATGGGGTTCAGGTCAGGAGAGTTGGCAGGCCAATTGAGCACAGTAATACCATGGTCAGTAAACCATTTACCAGTGGTTTTGGCACTGTGAGCAGGTGCCATGTCGTGCTGAAAAATGAAATCTTCATCTTCATAAAGCTTTTCAGCAGATGGAAGCATGAAGTGCTCCAAAATCTCCTGATAGCTAGCTGCATTGACCCTGCCCTTGATAAAACACAGTGGACCAACACCAGCAGCTGACATGGCACCCCAGACCATCACTGACTGTGGGTGCGTCACACTGGAGTTCTGGCATTTTGGCATTTCCTTTCCTTTATCACAATATGCTAATTTTTTGAGAAGGACCTGTATAGGGTCTGGAGTGGGCATACGGTGGTATATAGGTGGTGGGATGTGTAATCATTCTCACCTCGGGGACTTGTGCTCACTCTCATATGTAGCAACTGCAATGCCTGCTCTCTGGGGAGGGGGTGGGCCTGTGCCGGTCGCCGCCTCACCCCCCCCCCCCCCCCCCCCGCCCCCATTTTAAACGCACTATATAACAACATGCATCAACACCTTATTTGAGTCGGAAGAGGGAGGAGTGGGGTCTTCCTGTTATTTATATATATATACACACACACAAACCGGATTCCAAAAATGTTGGGACACTAAACAAATTGTGAATAAAAACTGAATGCAATGATGTGGAGGTGCCAACATCTAATATTTTATTCAGAATAAAACACAAATCACAGTTCAAAAGTTTAAACTGAGAGAATGTATCATTTTACGGGAAAAATCTGTTGTTTCCAAATTTCATAGCGTCAACAAATCCCAAAAATGTTGGGACAAGTCCATTTTTACCACTGTGTGGCATCCCCCCTTCTTCTTACAACACTCAACAGACGACTGGGGACAGAGGAGACCAGTTTCTCAAGTTTAGAAATAGGAATGCTCTCCCATTCATGTCTAATACAGGCTTCTAACTGTTCAATTGTCTTGGGCCTTCTTTGTCGCACCTTCCTCTTTATGATACGCCAAATGTTCTCTATAGGTGAAAGATCTGGACTGCAGGCTGGCCATTTCAGTACCCGCAACCTTCTCCTACGTAGCCATGATGTTGTGATTGCTGCAGAGTGTGGTCTGGCATTATCTTGTTGAAAAATGCAGTGTCTTCCCTGAAAGAGATGACGTTTAGATGGGAGCATATGTTGTTGTAGAACCTGAACATAGTTCTCTGCATTAATGGTGCCTTTCCAGACATGCAAGCTGCCCATGCCACAAGCACTCATGGAACCCCATACCATCAGTGATGCAGGCTTCTGAACGGAGCGTTGATAACAACTTGGGCTATCCTTGTCCTCTCTGGTCCGGATGACATGGCGTCCCAGTCTTCCATAAAGAACTTCAAATCGTGACTCATCTGACCACAGAACAGTCTTCCATTTTGCCACACTCCATTTTAAATGACCCCTGGCCCAGTGCAAACGTCTGAGCTTGTGGAACTTGCTTAGAAATGGCTTCCTCTTTGCATTGTAGAGTTTCAGCTGGCAACGGCAGATGGCACGGTGGATTGTGTTCACTGACAATGCTTTCTGGAAGTATTCCTGAGCCCATTCTGTTATTTCCTTGACAGTGGCATTCCTGTTTGAGGTGCAGTGACGTTTAAGGGCCCGGAGATCACAAGCATCCAGTAGAGTTTTACGGCCTTGACCCTTACGCACAGCGATTGTTCCAGATTCTCTGAATCTTTTGATGATGTAATGCAAGGTTGATGATGATAACTTAAAAGTCTTTGCTATTTTACACTGGGTAACACCATTCTGGTATTGCTGCACTATCTTTCTGCGCAACAATGGTGGAATTGGTGATCCTCTTACCATCTTGGCTTCTGAGAAACACTAACACTCTGAAAAGCTCTTTTTATACCCAATCATGTTGTCAATTGACCTAATTAGTGTTAATTGGTCTTCCAGCTGTTCGTTATATGCTCAATTTCCTTTTTCCAGCCACTTATTGCTACTTGTTCCAACATTTTTGGGATTTGTTGACACTGTGAAATTTTGAATCAACATACAGGTCCTTCTCAAAAAATTAGCATATTGTGATAAAGGTTATTATTTTCCATAATGTAATGATAAAAATGAAACTTTCATATATTTCAGATTCATTGCACACCAACTGAAATATTTCAGGTCTTTAATTGTTTTAATACTGATGATTATGGCATACAGCTCATGAAAACCCAAAATGCCTGTCCCAAAAAATTAGCATTAGGTGGTTGGCGGTTGGGGGTGGGGCCAGTGGTCCGGTTCTTGCTGGGTTCTTCAGATTTTGTGATCAAGGTTCCTGGTTTTGATGGCTGGCCCTTTGGCTGGGGTGGCTGCCGAGTTCCGGGTCAGCTGTGGTTGTTTGTGTGTTGTCGTTAGTGGTGTATGTCGGGGGTGAGGCTTCGCTTTGACAGGGAGCTGGCTGGTCGGCTTGGTGTGACATTTGCGGTTGGGGGTGCTGTGTGTATGGGGGGAGGGGGGGTGCATAGGTGGTGTGCCGGGGCTTATCCATGCCTGTAGTGTGGGGCTGTTGGAGTGCCTGGTCCTTAGTGTGCTGGGCCGGCCTTCCTCAGCTGCTGCTCCCTGCTGCTTTGGCCCCCGGCCTGGGGCCGGCTTGCGGTCACTGTTGGTTAGGTGGGGTGCATGGAAGGCCTGACAGAGGCTCTGTCAGACTGTCTATGTGTACCTGTTTATGTCTCGGGTTGGGTTTTGGGTGGTCCCATCTCTTGGATCAATTTGTGCCCCCCATTTAATGTGGGGTCTACTTCCCCCTGTCACGCTCCCCTCCGGTGGTAGGCCCCCCTGCCGCCGGTGCATTGGCGGCTCTCGGCATCTGGGGCTAGGTGGTTGGGTGTGTGTCGGCCCACCCTGGTGGCTGCCTGCCGGGGCCTGGGTGCCCTGGCTCTGTTGGGCCTCTGTTGGGGGGTGGTATGACCTCGGGACTCGAGGTTCAGTGTCCATGTCTGGATCTACTGTGGAGGGCCAGGTTGCCGGCGGGGCCTATGGAGTCGTCGCTGCAGCCTCTTGGGGGGGGTTCTACATTTTGATTGCTAGGGATTGCCCGGGGCTTCCCTTTGCTTCTCTCTGGTGGGTGTGGTTGTCCCTGTTGGGGGACTCCCAGAGCTCCGGGCTTGGGGGCTGCTGTGTGTCTGTGGCTCCTGTCTTCCCTGTGTTACCATCATGTCCTGTGGGTCCCCACATCCACTATTGAACATTTTTATGGAGAAACCTTAAAGTGACAAGCATGCTCACACAGGTGTTTAGATTCAGGTGTTCATCAGATACACACTCAATTGGGTTGTGGTGGCCACTAAATACATCTTGTATTACCATGTACTGTATAAAATAATTTCTAATGATGTTATAAATATCATTATATATGTTGTTTGTTGTTGTGGTTTCTCGGTTTCGTATTATTTTTTTCCCACAGGTCTAGAGGCAGACTTCAGTGATGTTGATTTGTGTTCTCTTTATACCTCTCTCTCCTCTATTCCTATCTCCTTCTTTCCCTTTTAACCTTTCTCCCACTTTTCTGCTTTGTTTTCTTCTTTATTTTTTTTTTCATTCCAGTGTCCATTACATCTGAAATAAACCCAAAGCAAATTCTAATAAAGTTTTATTTATATATCAGGTGGAGCATTAAGGCCAGCCATAATGCTCTGCTTGTGAAAGTCAATCTGTTAGGCATCACTTTGACACTCAGACAGTAATTCTGAGTGACTCATTGCTGGACAGAACAAGGGAGAAAAAAAAAATTAAAAGTGTTAGGGTGGGAGCTGGCTACAGGTCTCCGGTTACCAGTGGTGGGATGTAACTAGGGCATTAACAGAATACTCGAGTAATCTACACATCGATTGCTAGGACATCTATCGAGGTTAAAAATGTAACGTCGGGTATCCGTAGTGACGTCATATTATGTGACCACCGTATGACCGTAG